AGCGTCACTGGCCCATGTGGGATCCGAACCAGCTGCCCTGGTGCTCAGAGCTCATGCTCCCGAGCCAGCTCTTAACCAACAAGCCACTCGGCCGGCCCAGAGGTGCTCAATTTCTGAGAGAGCATTTCCATTTTCATTAGGACTTGTAGAGAACAGGGGATTCTGAAATAGGTGCTGTGAGAGGTTAGTGATTGGGCTAGTACATGGAGAGGAAAAGTGAGTGTCTTGTAGCTACTGGTGGAGTAAGTTTGCTTGGGTAATTAGAACAGTGATTTTCAAATTTTTTAGATTATGATCTTCAATAATAAATAGATTTTACATTGTAACCCATCATACGTGTTTGCCCTTGTATATACAGAGGTTGCCAAAAAAATCTGTACACATTTTAAGAAAGGAAAAAACTGTATTAAAATTGTAATATTCAATATATACCAATAACAAGATAAATACAAGTCACGTTTGACTTTTGCAGTTAGAAGAGGTGCTCAAAGTGGTTACCACCAGTGTAATTTTAGTACAGTTTTTTTCTTTCTGAAAATGTGTATACATTTTTAGTAATAGATGTCACAAACACAAATTTCATAAAACAATTTTTACCTTTACTATGTGTGAAGCACTCTGATATTTTCTTTTATATTTCATTCTATTTCCCTTGTGAGAAAATGTTGGTCTTGACTTCCTAAATAGATTTCATGACTTACTAAAGAGCTGTGACCTGTAGTGGAAAAAGCACTGGTTGGAGTATGAATTAATCCTTTGCACGTTACCCTAGAAAAACAATTTGACATAGTTTGTCATTTAGATGAATGAGAGGACCCCATCAGAGTTGGCATATGTGCTGGAGCAGGGGACCATGGCTTTTGCTTCCTCGGCTCCCTTAGCTGTCTTGTGTTTAGCTCCACTTGATCACTTGGCTTTCTTCAGATCAGGCTGTTTTTGTCAGATGGTTTCTTATGTATTTGGGCTTATCTCTTCCTTTAGATTGAGAGCTTGCTCCAGGAGGGCAAGATCTGTAATAATAGCTAATAGTTCTATAGCACTTCCTCTGTGCTAGGCACTTTTTTGTTTCACATATATTAATCTTCACCACAACCTATATATTAGGTACCTTACTTATTGTCGTTCTACAGATGAGGAAACCAAAGCGTATAGAAGTTAAGTAGTTTACTCTTAAGAGTCCGTCTGCAGCTTACCTCAATGTCTTGTGTAACATCTATCATATAAATGATTTCATTAATAAATACTGAATGAAATGAAACTAAATAGTTTCTGGGCTTATTTTCTTAACTTTCCTTCAGGCTTTTCTCACCACAAGGTTATTCAAGTGATTGTAGAGTAGTAGAAATTGAATAAAAAATGGCGTTGAATTTTGTCTAAAGAAAAGGGGTACAGAGTTTACTTAAATGGATCAAATAATTTAATATGAATAATGACTTTGCTTTAAGCCCTTACATTAAGCCTGTCATCTTCCACAGGCCTGGGTTTGAGAGTGAATAATATTGCAGAAATGCCCACATATCCTTAGCTCATTAATTTAATGATTTGGGATCCTTAATGTACTGTCTTCCAATCCCCTACCCGCTGCAACAAATGTTCTAGCCTGACCCATGCCTCCTGAGTTAATAGTATTTCTGTCACAGGGTGAGTTTTCAAGTTGGTATGTATAGTTTCTGCCAGAGTGTTTGTGCTGCCAGGACTCAGGCTTGGAGGCTGCAACTGACTTGTGGGGGAGGGAGTTTGGTGCTTGTTACTGGGGAGGAACAAGGTGCTCTCTGGGGCTCTGATTTGTTACAGGCTGAGTGTGAATGATGTCAGGCAGATTAGAGGACAGCTGATTCCTTTGGGATCTGGGACTCCTCACTCACTCACTGCTGCTTCCTGGGCTGTTAGGTCTTTGGGGAGGTTGAAGAAGAGGGCTTTCATTTTTCTCTTTAAGTTTGGGAGGCCTTTGTAAGTTTCCTTTGGCTTATAGACTGCATACCCCTTGTGTGAGAGAACTTCCTGCCAAGACTCCAGTGTGAGAGGGCAAAAGCTTGAGTAGCCAGGAAAATGATGAAACGGAGGAGAGAGAGACTGGGAGCACCATGCCTGCGGATTCAGTAAGGAGGCTGGGGGCTCTGAGTGGAAACTGGCAGTTATCAGGAAAAGAGCTAATGCCAACTAACACACCTTCATTTACTTGGATAAAGACTCTGGTTTTGTGGTGTCTGTCAGGAAGAGGGCTGAGCTGGCTTCATAAATTCAAGGTCAAAACAGTGGTCCTTGGCAGGGACATAATAGGGTTTTTAATTTTGAAAATTGAGTTAGATGTCATTTTAGGGGTTCTTAGGTACTTGGGGAATTGGGTTAACAATGAGAAGCGATCATTTTTTTTCCTGCCTGGAAAGCAAATGTTTAAAGTTAGTGTCAAAGCTGTATATACAAGCCCCATGAACATGAGAAAAATGGAAACGAAAGCATCTTCTTTGACTAGAGAGGGAGGGTATTGTATTTCTGCCCCTGGCCTGTCAGCTCAGGACCTCTGATCTGCCCTTGCAGATCCAAGCCTGAGTCCTTTAGGGTGTGACCTGAATTTTATTTCTATGTTTGCCAATAATAGAAATAGACTTAGGTGAGCATTTCAAAACGGGAACAGAAGAAGCCATCCACTTCAGGGTAGCTTTTCCAAGAGCTGCTCAGGCTTATTTAATGACGAGGTGCTAAGTGACTTGATCAGGAAATTAGGGAACCAAGGGAAGACATGTCCTAGAATCCATTCCACCTCAGTGATCTGTCTTGAACTGACAGGGCGTAACTCACAGGGCAGAGGAAGTGACTGCCCTTTTCTTCTGAATGTTAGTGCTTTCACAGAGACAGCATGGCATACTCAAACGCAGAGACTTCTTCAGTGGGCTTACTTTGGGTCATTAACCTTCCATGTCTGTGGATGCTCATGGATTGAATTAATTATTTTACCAGACCTTGGAAAATCAGACTTATATGAAGTATATAAGTGGAAGGATTGGCATACAGTTGACCCTTGAACACATGGGTTTGAACTGCGCAGGTCCACTTATACATGGTTTTTTTTTTCAGTAAATTCTGTAAATGTATTTTCCTTATGATTTTCTTAATGAGATTTTCTTTTCTCTAGCTTACTTTATTGCAAGAATACGATATGTAATACATTTACAAAATACTCGTATGTGTTAATCAACTATGTTACTGGGAAGACTTCCTACTGGCCAGCAGTAGGTTATTAGTTAAATTTTGGGGGAGTCAAAGTTACACATGGATTTTTGACTGCACAGGGGGTTGGCGCTCCTAACCCCACATTGTTTGAGGGTCAACTGTACTTTTAAAAAGGTTTATTCCCATACTAAGACTAAAAAGTTAAAGGCTATTAAAAAGAAGCTTCATCAACAAAGGTGTCATTTAAAGTAAAGATGACTTGTTAGCAAAATTGAAAAATTTTTAATTGAGTTTGTAGTTTAAGAAAACATAAGTGGTTAAAAATCATGCTCTCCAAATGTTGGTGCACTGGTATTGGTAATCATTGTATCTGTTTTAGTGACTTTGAATTTAGATTAGGAAATTTTTCTTGAGGAGCTAGTAAATAATTTGTAAATCACTTTAACTTTTCAAACAATCCTTTTTAGACTCTAGCTTCAGTGTATAACTTGATTGCAGAGTGGTAATTAGGAGCAAAGGGATAATGAGATTTGGTTTTCATAGATTTTTATAATCTTAATTCATCAAAATGGCCAAAGCATCATTTTATGTGATAAGATTTAAGTCTCCAAAATTTTGTATAAGCAATATTATTCAGGTTAACAAGAACGAAATGTCTTATTGTATGTTCTAATTAGCTCTAGCTTATATATACCAGGGAGCTTATTTTTGAAATAGTTCTCTAGAAAATTGGAAATTCTCAAAAGTGAGAAACTAATCACAAATTAATATTTTTACTTCTTATAATATTAAAAAATATGTTGAGTTTATGGAAATTTGGGCATGCCTATAATTTTAAATAGTTTTCTGCCCTCTGCTTTCCTATTGTATTATATCCTCATATTGTGTACTTATCTGAGAAAGGTGCTGAAACCAGCTAGAGGGATAATATATATGAAGGTAAAGATTTCCTTTGAATATATGTAATTAAACACAAATGGAATGTCACATATCAATATCCAAACAGTCAGCAATAACAATACAGAAAACTAACATTTTACATCAGGTGCTTATGTGATACTTAAGTTTTGTTTTGTTTTTTAATCTTGGAAATAAATATTCTAGTTTAATATGGTATTTGTATAGAAAGCCATGCCACTACTGTATATAGCACATTAAATGCTGTGAGCCTGTCAGTTATTTTTCATCATCTGTGACATATCTATCAATGATCAACAAAGTAGAAATCTATATTTACCATCTGTCTGTTTTCAGTCTAATGATCTTATTTACTTAATAAGACTTTCATTAGGACTTCACACATAAGAGATGGTTAGATTGTTTTTAGGGGGAAAAAGTAACCTGGAAAACTAAAGTTTAAGTAGAAGCAAAGTTTATTATACAGAGTTAAGTGACATTATTTGGTATACTCATTAGGCAAAAGTTAGCTAAATAAGTTGTTATTGTGGATATAATCTAACGACATAAACTATTGAGAATGTTTTATGGACATAAATATTTCTCTACGAAGTTTTAGTCATTGAACACAAACTATTACCTATTGTTTGCTAGTTGATAAATTATAGTAAATTTGCAATATTTTCCCAGAATCCAATTCTAAATACTTTGAATACCCAAAGTGTAAATTTTTGGTTTAAATTCTGTGGATTAAGTTTTAGTCTCAACGGTCATCCGTGCCAACATTGGCACTGAGGTATGATATTTGAGAATGATTTTTGACCACTTACTTTTCTTAAGCCTGTTGCCTAAATTAACCCATTTTGAAGATGTTTCTTTTTTAGTAAAAATGACCACTGACCTTGTTTTTTTCTACTATGGTACCTTGTCAGAATCTCCTCTCTTTGCCGAGGATCTGAAGTAAACCAGCACATGTTTTCACCCACATCGGCTCCAGTCCTATCCCTCATTAAAGTCCCATATAGTGCTGACTGTGCTCTGGCTGCTTCTCCTCTTGCGTTTTTCATGAACCCACAAGCCCATAGCAGTCCTGGCAGTCCCTGTTCCAGCCGCCCACTGCAGTGGAGGTAAGGAAACTTGCTGTGGTGTGAATGTGAGCCTGGGTGATTGCTTCTGGCCCAATAGGTAAAATCCAAACCTTTCTCCTTAATATTGGGGAGAAACTGAGTAAAAGTCATGATCCTGTCACAGTGAAGAATAAAAGAAATTTCACAAATTGCTGCTGCATCAAAATTTCGGGAGAAAGTAGGATATCTGTTAGTAGGTAGATAGTTGTGTGCCCATCCTGACTGTGACCACCCCATAGGAGAAGCATAGCATGACAGAATGCTGGAACTGTAAATTAAATAGTTCAGTTGCCACATTTTACACAACAGGAAAATTTGATTCCAAAACAGGTTTAGTGATTTGTTAAGATTGCTGAAAATATCCCTCTGCCCATTTCTTTCTGCCTCTCTGTTCATGTATTAAGCATTATTTGAGTACATTCTATGTGCTAGGCACTGTTTTAGGTATGGAGGACAAAACAGTGAACACAAAGAGATAAAGTCCATGCCCTCAGGGAGCTTAGATTCTAATGGAGGAAGACAAGTTAATGAGTAAATATATAACAGATGGACATAAGTGATACTGAGAAAATTTAGTAGGATAAGGGAAGGAGGGCTTGTCATTTTATATAAGATGGTCAAAGAGGTCCTCAATGATAAGTTGACATATGAGCAAAAACCTAAAGGAAGTCACGGAGCCAGAATAGAGGTATCTGAAAGAGGAGTGTCTTAGACAGAGGCAACAGTAAGTGGTAAAGGCCTGATCTAAGAGTTGCTTCATGTGTTCTTTGTGCAGCAAAGTCCAGTGAAGCTGGTGTGGACTAAGTTAGGAGGGAAACAGTGGGAAATGAGGTCTGAGATGTAGTGGGGGGCCAGAGGAAGGAGAACTTTAAAGCTATTATAAGGATTTTTTATTTTATGCGTAGTGAGATGAGGAGCCATTAAAGGGTTAAAGCAGAAGAAGTCATGATCTGACTTAGATCAAAGGGTCACTGGCTATTGGTAGAAGGCTACTGGAATAATCTAGGTAAGAGACAGTAGTTGTTTGAACACATGTGGTGCGAGTAGTAATAAGTGGTCAGATTTGGGGGTGTATTTTAAAGGTAGAATTAGTAGGATTTGTTGATGGATTTAGATGCAGAGTTGGAGAAAAAGACAAGGACTGAAGATTTTGGGCTGAACAATTAGAAAGTTGGAATTACCATTAACTGAGACTGGGAAAATGCAAACGATAGCTAATTAGATGTTCAGTTCGAGAAATGAGACCTGACAATTAAGTTCGCGAACTTGTCACAACAATGTTGCTAACCTTTTTTTGATACCAGAGGGATTATTTATTATGAATTTATACCAATTGGACGAACAATTAACCAAGTTTACTATTTGGAAGTGCTGAAAAGGCTGCATGAAAAAGTTAGATGACCTGAACTTTTCACCAATGATTCATGGCACTTGGATCACGATAATCCACCAGCTCACACGGCGCTGTCTGTGAGGGAGTTTTTAGCCAGTAAACAAATAACTGTATTGGAACACCCTCCCTCCTCACCCGATCTGGCCTCTAATGACTTCTTTCTTTACCTGAAGATAAAGGAAATATTGAAAGGAAGACATTTTGATGACATTCAGGACATCAAGGGTAA